CTCCGCAACCTTCCAGACGTGTCAGAACACAAACAGTGTTAATTGGTGCCGATATTTGCCCTACAATATGGTAGGCGCCGACATTTGTCATACCAGAAGAACACGATGGAACCAACCACATGCATCAGGGCATCAACAATTTTGTAGGCGTCGATAAACCGTCTCGTACCCGACGGCGTGGGCAACAAGACTAGGTAGCGCACTCTCTCTCACTCTCTCTCTCTTATAAAGCCGTTCTCTTCATCTATAAAAGGGGATGCGCTCTCTCAAAAAGAGGACGATTCGAACAACCTACGACGATTCCAACGAACAACAGAGCGGATCACTCCAATTCTATCTGCTTGGCTCTAGAACGTTAAAGCCAAACAAAGCATACGTTTGAACACTTAGCGCACGTCGGAGCTCCCGTCACTCTTAGTCCTTTGGTCCGGAGTCCGACCGGACCTCTGATACCCCATCTTACTCACTCTCGTTTGTAACCCCACAGCAAATTTCGAGCACCTGGGCTTAGGAATAAAGTCAATGATCGGCTCAAACTGGACGTAGGGTACGTTGTCTGAACCAATATAAATCCTGTGTCGTTGAGTGCTAGACCACATCTAATCACAGCGTACGATAAAACTAGAAATATTTACGTTTTAGTTGCTTTTCGCACCGACATCCATGTTGTTAAAATATGTGTACGAGTCTCACCGGACGAGTTGAAAGTCTTGGCCGACCGGACGATGCCTTTTCGTCGTAGCTCTGGCGGATTTGCGTCTGCATTACCAAGCACTAGCTAGCAGTACTTGTCTATCGTAAAGACGAGGGATGAGGAAAGTCTCTCAGCCGACCGGACGATGCCGTTTCGTCGCAGCTAAAATCGGATTTTCGTTCTCACATTACCAATATGTATGGAGCATTAAATGTAGGTAAAAAAATAACTAATTATTGCAGTTTGACCGTAATTGTCTATCAAATCTTTTAAGACGCAGTGATCGAGGAAAGGTCTCTCGGGAGTTTTAGACTTGTTCCCCAATGCTTTGTTTGGCTTGCAGAACAATCAGGCCAAGCTGTAGTAGTTTCTGCTGACGACCTGGGCACTAGAGGTTTCACTTTCACCGTGCCGTAAACCGGAGGGCGCTGCGCTCTCGGCAGGACGGTGTACGTTTGTGACACTGTGAAGGACATGCCAAGAAATCTTGGTCAAAGTGCTTGAAGCCTTGATCCATGCGCTTGAGCCTTGACTAATACTAACCTGCATGTTCACGACCAAACCCGGCGCATGAAGTAATCTTGCGGTGTGCGTTTGACCGAAGACCACCGGCAGCCTGCATGGCTGCATGCATGCATCCCAGAAAGGAAGGCCCGCCGGCCGGCCAGATGCATTTATAGCTGGGATCACTTTAGACTAGTGCTACTACAGTACAATTTATAGATCGTTTTGTTCACAGGGGGAAAAGATCCCGTGTCACTTTTGTTCTCTTTTTTGCGATGGAGACGCAGCGAGCAGAGCGTCTCGTTGTTACTGAACGGCTGATCGATCTATTCCATGCTTGCGCACGTCCACTGTTGGTGCACAGCTGTCAGCAGGCGGCGAGAGCGTTCCCGTACGCGCACGGCACGAGCTCGCCGTTGCCGTTGAATCGTCGGCCGGGCCAGAAAGGAGGCGACCGCCGGATGGAGGAAAGCAACAGTGGCTGCGGCCGGCCGGATAGACGGCTCGACCAAAAGCACCCGGCTCCGTCGAACCGTTCCCATCAGCTGCACTGCACGCAAATGCGATGCTGCGCCCTGTGTTTTTACTGTCCCAAGTGGTGGTACTGGTCGGGCAGGCGGAGCTATAGCGCGCTTTGCCTTTCCTCGCGTGGGTGGCACGGCACCGGCACCGGCACCGGCACGGCCTATCCCGTGCACGTCCACGTACGCTTCCCGGCCGGCCACGAACGTTTCAGTCACTGCGCCGGCGCCATGCCAAGTTACTGCGTTACCTTACAGTTTTTTACATTGCCATAGTATACGCGGGCGGCAGTTGAGGTGGAAGCTCACTGGGCTCGGAAAGTAGTAGGAGTGGGCATGGTTTGCTCCTTCCCTTTGTTTGGTGGAATTTGCTTTCTTCGACGTCCATCAGCATGTTGAGGTGGAAAATCATCTTAAATTTTCAAAGTAGTAGGAGTGGGCATGGTTTGCTCCTTCCCTTTGTTTGGTGGAATTTGCTTTCTTCGACGTCCATGTCCGTCCGCGCTGCAGTGCTTTTATCACTTGGGGCAAGCAAACGTATATGGAAAGAAGATTCAGGCCAGGAATCAGGATCCAAAGCCCAGCTGGCGGCACGGAGGGCACTCAGGTAGCGTAGTAGTAGTCATGTCATGTTACCTCCTGCGTAGTACCAGCCTACTGTATATGCATATGCCCTCGTCGACCCGGTTGGAGTGGACAAAAGATTTTGCTGCCTCACTATAGGGGTAATGGCTAACGATGTTGTAGACTTGTAGCCATGGGCTTTGCTGACTCGCTGTTCATCCAAATGCCGCGAAGCAGAGATGTTGCGGGTACTATTTTCATGTACCGTAGTGTCATTGTTCATCGAGTTGTCTCTCTGCCGCCTAAACAAGTACGGGCCTGGTTGCATCAGTTTCGGATTCTCAGAAACAAGTTTCTTCTAAAATCTTGATTTGGAGCAAAAACTGGTAAGGTATTTTTTAAGATCTCTTCATTTTTACTCACCGGGTCAATCTAGACTTGGGTATTTATTATTCTAGGTTTTTAAGAATCACAAAAACTAGTAAAAACCGTTGGATCCCACATACATAGTTTTCAAAAGCCTAATTCTTAAAAACTGGCAAAAATTAGAAAGATCCAAACAGGGCCTACTAGGAGCTAGTGAAGCCACTCGGAGAGAAGCCAATGAAGTGGCTTCACCGGCTCATATATGCTGTTTCCTAGGATGAAAAAAAGATAGAGAAGCCAAAGCTAGCAAAAACTATGCCGAAGAGGCCCTAATAAAAGTCTTGGCTTCTCGTGAAGTCAAACAATTATAAGTTTAATAACCAAATAAATGTACTAATTTTTATGTAAGTATTACAAGATTAACTATATATATAATATATTTTTATAGTAAATATATTTAGAAATATAAATATTGATATTAATTTTATAAAACTAGTTAAACTTTAGATTGTTTGACTTCACAGAAAGCATGACGATTTCCTTTTTTTTTTGAACGGGGGAGTGCTTAGTTCGTATTTAGACTTGTGTGGCTCGGCAACATTCTGTGGCTCGCATAAGCATATATGCAAGTTTGCACAATGTTAAAAGCAAGTCCAATGCAACATTAGTTAGTACGTCACATTTTATCATATTAGAGTACAACATGTGCTTATATAGTTTAGAACAGCGTACATCTAGCCACCATACTGAGTGACATATTATAAAACATGACGAAATTGTTGCATAAATCTCCGAATTGTAATCGTCCAAATGGACACACAACAAGTTACACGTTTCGTTGCAATGTGTGGGCGTATTTGCTAGTTGGCCACCGAGGTGCTCATCCCAATATCTCTAAAGTAACAAATGTAGTATACTTTGTGCATTACTTGTTGTCACTAAGTTATAGAGAAAAGTATTGATTTTGCATACAGGTAGAATGATTAGATTGTATTTGTCATGGATAAGAATTTGAGGATCCAACAAGGAAGCAAGGAAGAAGGACAACAACCACACTCGTGCTTGTTGTTGCCATTCATTTTGGGGAGACGAGGTAGATAGAAAGAGATGTAGACGATGATCATGGCCATGTGTCTTACCACAACTGCCAAATGTGAGATATGGAAGTATGGAACCCAATGTGATTGTCAGTTAATGATATTTGTGGTCGTAGGGAAAAATAATTTGTTATTTCAGTAGGATAATGGTTGTAGTGATATGGTATAATATGTTTTTAAGAATGCATTTGGTTTGTAGAAACGACTTTCGAAGCTTGAACATATTTCTTTATATCCTTCAGCTTTTTTCAATTATGTATGAACTTCAACTTAAAATATACCATATTTACCTTCCATTTGAAGAAACAAAGCAAACATCTCTTTCACAATTTCCCTCTATTCTTGAAGTAAAATCTCCATAAAATGTTATTATATTTTACCGTATAATAACGCACCCTGTCGAGGTGTTCCTATTTTTACAAGGATTCTAGATTCCATGATGCCTATCTCTCTAATTCGGCCCAACCTTTTGTTTTTTCTGAGATCTAGAAAAAGTAAATATAGGCCTAAAAATTTCAGCAACCCACAAAAAACACAAAATATCCTATTTCCTTCCTTCGTCCGTGTGAAAAAACGCAGCCCGCGAAAGGGCAAGCAGCCAGCTCCCACCCTCTCAAAATTCAAAATCCGAAAGCCACCAACGGCCCCTCCGATTCCGAAGGCGACGCGCCGAACGGCTGGATCCCCGCATCGGACGGCTGTGATCTCCCGGCGCTCCTCCGGAATTCCCATGTGCCGTCCGATCCGGTGCCCTAGCCCCCACCGCCACTATAAATCACCGCCCTGCATTTCGCCTCCCCTTCCACAGAGCACACGCGCGCTCACTACAACGAGGACGTGCAGCTGGAGCGCGTCAACGTCTACTACAACGAGGCCTCCGGTGGCAGGTTCGTGCCGCGCGCGGTGCTCATGGACCTTGAGCCCGGCACCATGGACGCCGTCCGCTCGGGCCCCTACCGTCGGATCTTCCGCCCCGACAACTTCGTCTTCGGCCAGTCCGGCGCCGGCAACAACTGGGCCAAGGGACACTACACCGAGGGCGCCGAGCTCATCGACTCGGTCCTCGACGTCGTCCGCAAGGAGGCCGAGAACTGCGACTGCCTCCAGGGTATCGATCTCTCGTCAACTGAACTGAATTCCCATCATCCAGTGTTTTCGGAATTTCTGTTGCGCTGTCTGTCTCATTCGATCGATCTGTTCGTGCCGTCAGGTTTTCAGGTCTGCCACTCGCTCGGTGGTGGCACGAGGTCCGGCATGGGTACCCTGCTCATTTCCAAGATCAGGGAGGAATACCCGGATCGGATGATGCTGACGTTCTCCGTCTTCCCATCCCCCAAGGTGTCGGACACGGTGGTATAGCCCTACAACGCCACGCTCTCCGTCCACCAGCTCGTGGAGAACGCCGACGAGTGCATGGTGCTGGACAATGAGGCACTATAAGACATCTGCTTCCGCACGCTGAAGCTGACCACTCCTAGCTGTAAGCTGATCTGTTCCGCCAAGTTTGATCGCCTTGCCTACATGTATTTACAGTTTGATTACCTTACCTGGTTCTAATTGCATCATGTGATGCATGCCCTCAATGAAATGATCAGCAACATCACTTTAACACAAGCTCCGGACAGCAGATATTCCAAATTTGCCGGCCAGCTGGGAACTCTCCATACTTCAGCCGTGTATCAGGCATCCAAGACCATGGGCTCCCCGTGCAATTTCTCTAGCTTCGTTTGGAGAAACCGAGCGCCCCCAGTAATGCGTTTTTTGGTGGTTATTGGTAAACAACCGCATACAAAGGTTATTTACAACCTCCACCTCAAGCATGTCCTCGACGACGACATTTGCCAACTCTGTGTAATGCGGCGAGACCGCCGATCACCTTATCTTTCATTTGCTGGTTCCTTGACTTTACGGAATCATATTGGTTGGATCGGGGTCAACCTTCCGAGCCAACTCACCTATGGAAGATGCCACGGCCACCACATATCCCGACTAAGCACTCCCGATGATGATACTCTTGTGTTCTTTGGTAGATTTGGAACCATCGCCACAACGTCGTCTTTCGCCATCGCAAACCCGTGTCTCGAGCCGCCTCAGATCAATTGCAGGGAAACATGTAAGCCTATGGAGCAGCCCGCCGTTCCCAAGACCGTTCCATTGCTGATCAATGGTGTAATTTATTTGTCATGAATTAATGCCCTGTACGATTAAGACCATGTAAACTCTAGGTGCCTGGCACCCTCCATTTACCGGCTTGCCGGAATCTATGGAAAATCATTCACGTGGGGCTCTCCCCCCTCCGGTGAAGTCTTCAAAAACAAATTTGCATCATGTGATTGTTTAATAATAAAGCTTTATTCTGTGATTTTGGTGCTTCAAATTATTATCTAACCACATGTCGTAGTCATGTTTATTATGATTAAAATGAACGAATACATTTGTCGCCAAACTCTGTCCTTTGCCTTAGGTTTGGAAGTCTACTGTCAGAAATGTTCTCAGGGGACTTGGGAACGCATCTTGAATTTTCCCTTGTGCTTCACATGAGGAATATGTTTGTATCATATCAGTGGCCTTTGTTGCTTGCTGCTTGAATGCTACTTCTGAATTTATCCTAGTCCTGATCAGTTGTTGCTATCTGAACTGCTAGTTTGGTCCACTGGAAATGCTAGTTATTGTAGTTGTTGCGGATGGCTTAATTGATCACCAAACCAGGACATTTTTACATTTGTAGCAAGTCTAATGCATTGTTGCCTGATGAGGGTGGTGCTGAATTGTAAGCATGTAAAATGTGTTAAAAATGTCAAAGTTAGGCTTTCTTCTGCACCTTGCATAACTCGTCATATGGAAAATGTAACTATCATTGTGTTTACCTGAAGAAAAATGTATGCTAATAAAGAAATATTGAAGTGTATCAGAAAATCATTTCAGAAAATGACTGCAACCCAAAGCCTCTGTGCAGATTTGGTTGTAATCATTCTATGTGTAGGACTGTACTAAGCTTTTTCTATTATTCTCAATCAATTCTTTTTGTATGATATTTTTTTTCACGAGTAATGATCAAGATCAATGATAAATATAAATTCATATTGACCTCTTACTGTCTTGTACTGATGTGAATCTTCTGGTTTTGTCTGCAGTTGGTGATCTGAATCACTTGATCAGTGCCACCATGAGTGGTGTCACCTGCTGCCTTCGTTTCCCAGGGCAGCTGAACTCTGACCTCCGCAAGCTTGCTGTCAACCTGATTCCCTTCCCACGCCTGCACTTCTTCATGGTTGGCTTTGCGCCACTCACCTCACGTGGCTCCCAGCAGTACCGCTCCCTCACGGTCCCTGAGCTGACCCAGCAGATGTGGGAGTCCAAGAACATGATGTGTGCTGCGGATCCGCGCCATGGCCGCTACCTGACGGCCTCTGCCATGTTCCGGGGCAAGATGAGCACCAAGGAGGTGGACGAGCAGATGCTCAACGTGCAGAACAAGGGCTCGTCTTACTTTGTGGAGTGGATTCCAAACAACGTGAAATCCAGTGTTTGTGACATCCCCCCGCGTGGCCTCTCCATGTCGTCCACCTTCGTGGGCAACTCCACCTCCATCCAAGAGATGTTCCGGCGTGTGAGCCAGCAGTTCACGGCCATGTTCAGGAGGAAGGCCTTCTTGCATTGGTACACATGTGAGGGCATGGATGAGATGGAGTTCACTGAGGCGGAGAGCAACATGAACGACCTTGTCTCCGAGTACCAGCAGTACCAGGACGCTACAGCTGACAAGGAGGACGACTTTGAGGACGAGGGCGCGGCGGCAGAGTGAGGCCGCTGCCATCAGTTGGTGCGGGGGTTGGCTTTAATTTAGGGTTTTCTTTAAACTTTGGTGATCTTTTAAGTTCATTTTGGATGTTTGAGCTTGGACATTGGGTTTAAGTAGTTTGTAATATGTGGCCTGATTCTACCTTGTGTAGATAAAGCTGGAATTTTATCAATTATCTAAAAAATTGGAGCCTGCGTATGCTTGAAGTGTGTTAGCTAATCTACTGCCACCTTATGTGAACACAACAAGGGAAGGCGGCGCCGATTTTGCCCCTCATTTGTGATACTGATGGCAGCTGCAGTCTGCAGAGGCGTCGCACGGCTCACCACTGCAAGCTTCAGAGGAACAGCAAAGGGCTTGCCGCAGTCGTCACCTGTCCAGTTATCTAGTTCTTGTGCCGATATGGGCGCACTGCATGGACTAATAGTTTGATTTGTATAAATGGACATGTATGGTAACTCAGTAAAGAGAGCTTAGATTTGCCATCACACAGATAGGGCTTCGGCCAACGCTGTTGTCTTGTATTGTGCGTGCTTGCTCTGTTCTCCCTTCTTCTTCCAACTCCGTCCGTAGTGTGTGGGTACGGACAACGCCGGTACGTGGTCTGCACGGCTAGTGGGTGCTCGGCAACACTAGCGCGTGCTCGGCGAGACCTTCAAGTGCTCCTCTCGCCTGAGCCGGTGCACGACAAGATCGACTGGAGTGGTTCACTGACATGAGCCGGTGATCCTGTGAGACCAAGGGTGGTCTGGAGACTATATGTAGTGGTCTGGAGGCTATCTGTAGTGGTCTAGAGGCTATCTGTAGTGGTCTGGAGGCCATCTCGGTGGTCGGGAGGCTAACTGTGGGCCAACAAGTGGTATCAGAGCCGTACAAGCGCCGTCGTCATTCTAACCGATGGCGATGACAGGCGGTTTGGAGTTGGACGACGGCAGTGGCACTGTCGTGGCTGCCCAGCCACTACTGGATGTAGTTGTTCGCACGGTGCGGGAGGTCAGCGACACCACTTGGCCAACGCTGACTCGCACTAACTATGGAGAGTGGTCGGTGATCATTAAGGTCAAGCTCAGAGCCCGACAGCTCTGGAATACTGTTGACAAGGGCACCGACGTGGAAGAAGACGACATGTCAGCGTTGGAGGCTATCCTCGCTGCTGTACCGGCGGAGTATAGGGAACCGTTGGGGATGAAAGGCTCAGTTAAGGAGGCATGGGAGGCCATTGCGGCGATGGGCGTCGGTTCCGACAGCGCAAAGAAGGCGACGGCCCAGCTTCTGAAGCAGGAGTACGCAAAACCTCAAGTTCAAGGATGGTAAAACAATGGAGGACTTTTCCCTCCGCCTGCAGACGCTCATCAGCAAGCTGAAGAGCCACGGCGTCACCATCGACGAAGAGGAGGAGGTCTCCAAGTTCCTCCACTCCGTGCCGGCAAAGTACATCTAGATCGCTCTCTCCATAGAGACGATGTTGGACTTGTCCACTCTCACCATTGAGGATGTGGCAGGCCATCTGCGGGCGGTGGACGAGCGCCTGGGGTAGGTGACAGCAACGAAGGACAGCGGAAAACTCTTGCTGATGGAAGAGGAGTGGGCTGCTCGGCGAAACTCCGGGAAGGCAGCCTCCTCCAGTCGCGGTGGCAAGGGCAAGCACCGTGGTAGGGCTTCTTCGGAGAAGAAGCAAATCGACTCCAACGCCTGTCGGTGTTGCGGGAAGATGGGTCATTGGGCACGGGAGTGCCCAAATCGCAAGAAGGAGAAGAAGGCTCAGGCTCACCTGGCGAAAGCTGATGATGAAAATGAGGCCACTATCCTTATGGCGATGTTCTGTGCACTGCACGACGTCGAGGCCATGGAGAGGGAAGAGGCGACAACGGTGGAAGGATCTAGCAAGATCCTAAAGACTGTCAACCTCGACGAACCACGTGCCCAAGTCCATCTCAGGCGTGTGGGCGTCGACCAGGAGCAGCGGTGGTATTTGGACTCTGGTGCCAGTAACCACATGACAGGCTCTAAGGACTCCTTCTCTGAATTCGACGACAATGTTACCGGTACGATGAAGTTTGGTGATGGCTCAAGGGTGGCTATACAAGGGCGCGGCACCATCATCTTCAGATGCCAGAACGGGGAGCACCGCGCGCTAATGGATGTATACTACATCCCGCAGCTGCGCTCCAGCATCATCAGCATTGGCTAGCTAGATGAGCGCGGTAGCGAGGTTCTGATCAAGGACGACGTTCTGAGGATCAAAGACCGGGAGCAGCGACTTCTCGCCAAGGTGAAGAGATCCCTGAACCGGTTGTACCTGCTCAACCTGAAGGTAGAGCGGCCAGTTTGCCTGGCGGCAAGGCACTTTGAGGAACCGTGGATGTGGCATGCCCGGTTTGGACATTTCAGCTTCGACGCGCTTGGTCGGCTGGGGAACATGGTCCGAGGGCTACCCCACATCAAGCACGGAGGCGAGCTGTGTGACAGCTGCCTGGCTGGGAAGCAGAGGAGGTTACCTTTCCCAAAGGCGGCCAAGTATCGCGTGAAGGAAACTCTCGAGCTAGTTCACGGCGACCTCTGCGGGCCGATCACGCCTGCTACATGCGGTGGTCGGTAGTACTTCCTCCTACTCGTGAATGATTGTAGTCGCTACATGTGGCTGCAACTCCTGACAAGCAAGGACGAAGCGGCGGTGACGATCAAGAAGTTCAAGACGCGCGCGGAGGCCGAGAGCGGCAAGAAGCTCCACGTACTGAGGACTGATCGGGGTGGTGAATTCACTTCGGTGGAGTTTGCTACGTACTGCGCGGATCAGGGTGTGGGACAACATCACACTGCGCCGTACTCGCCACAACAGAATGGCGTGGTGGAGCGACAGAACCAGACAGTGGTCGGCATGGCCTGATCCATGATGAAAGCCAAAGGGATGCCGACAAAGTTCTGGGAAGAGGCGGTGACCACGGCGGTGTTCATCCTCAACCGCGCTCCAACCAAGGCCCTAATGGGCAAGACGCCGTTCGAAGCTTGGTACGAGAGCAAGCCGAACGTGTCATTCCTCCGAACATTCGGTTGCATCGGCCACGTCAGGAAGATGAAGCCGAACCTCACCAAGCTAGAGGACAGGAGCACACACATGGTGTTCCTAGGCTACACGGAGGGTACCAAGGCATACTGGCTCTATGACCCACGCGAAGACAAGGTGACTGTCTCGCGCGATGTTGTGTTCAACGAGGAGGCGGCTTGGGACTGGAACAGTCTGAGCACGGGGGAAGCAGGAGGCTTCCCCAAAACCTTCGTCGTCGAGCACTTGGTCATCCACGGCGGTGGAGACGCTGCGGAACAGGTGCCACGCACTCCGAGAGGAGCGCCGAGCACTCCGGCGGTAGAGTCGAGCACTTCTGGGGCAGTGCCGAGCACTTTAGGAGGGATGCCGAGCACTCCGGGAGGAGTGTCGAGCACTTTTGAAGGGATGCCGAGCACGCCAGGAGTGGAGCCAGGAGGTTCTGCAGTGGTGGCGACCACTTCAGGACGGGTGTTGTGCACTCTCGTGGCGGAGCCAAGACATCTTACTGTAGTTCCGACCACTTCAAGACTGAGGCTAGGCACTCCTACAGTGTGGCCGAACACTGCAGGAGTTATGACGAGCAGTCCAGAAGCAGTGCCGAGCACTTCAGGTGCTATGCAGGGCACTCCAGTAGAAGAAGGAACTCCATCACTCCCGATCGAGTTCGCCTCACCTCCAAGTGACATCACTGAGTTCGTGGACGCCTACCACGAAGGTGAGGAGTTGAGGTTTCGCAGGCTGGACGACATCGTCGGCGACACAGGTCCCTTAGGTCTGGCGGGTAGGCTGCTCAACGACGCAGAGCTGCTACTCGTCAGTGTAGAGGAACCACCCATGTTCGCGCTAGCCGAGCACGATGAAAATTGGCGACGGGCGATGCTGGAGGAGATGAAGGCGATCGAGGAAAACGAGACTTGGCAGCTCATCGATCCACCTCCAGGATGCCGTCCAATCAGCCTGAAATGGGTGTACAAAGTCAAAAGGGACGAGCTCGGCGCCATTGTCAAGCACAAGGCGTGCCTCGTCGCCCGAGGCTTTGTCCAGCGCGAGGGCATCGACTTCGAGGAGGTCTTTGCGCTAGTAGCGCGCATGGAGTCGGTCCGTTTGCTACTTGCTTTAGCGGCAGCAAAGGACTGGCGCGTCCATCACTTGGACGTTAAATTGGCCTTCCTCAACGGTGAGCTGGCGGAAACGGTCTTCGTCAGGCAACCTCCAGGGTTTGCTGTCAAGGGAGAGGAGCACAGGGTGCTCCGACTGCGCAAAGAGCTCTACGGGCTACGGCAAGCCCCTCGAGCATGGAACGCCAAGCTTGACACCACGCTGGGCGAGCTTGGGTTTCAGAGGTGCGCAACCGAGCACGCGCTCTACACGCGACGACGGGGGAAGGAAGAGCTCATGGTTGGCGTGTATGTGGATGACTTAATCGTCACCGACGCGTGCACGGAGGATATCAACAGCTTTAAGCGAGAGATGGCAGCTCATTTCCGAATGAGCGATCTCGGCGCTCTCTCCTACTACCTCGGCATCGAGGTGAGACAGGGGAAGGAGGAACTCACACTCAGGCAAAGCGCGTAAGCCTCCAAGCTATTGGAGAGGAGCGGCATGGTGGAGTTCAAGTCATGCGTGACTCCGATGGAGGAGCGGCTGAAGCTGACGAAGGCCAGCACTGCGGCGAAAGTGGATACAACACTCTACCGGAGCATCGCCGGTGGTCTGCGCTATCTAGTCCACACGAGGCCGGACATTGCGATCGCCGTGGGCTACGTCAGTTGCTTCATGGAGGATCCCAGAGAGGATCACTGGGCTGTGGTAAAGCGGCTACTACGCTACATCAAGGGGACGGTGAATCATGGAATCATCTTCCCAAAGACCGGTGGGAGTAGGCTGCAGCTCACGGTATTCAGCGATGCAGACATGGCGGGGGACATCGACGGACAATGGAGCACCTCTGGCGTGC